CGACAGGGAGGCGTCGTCGGTGCGGAACCAGCCAGCGAGTTCCAGGATCGCTTTTTGCTTCGCTGGCGCATGCGACGCGCTGCCAGTGCGCCGTGCCGAAAGCGAGCGACCCATCGCCGATGATTTGGCGCGAGCCCGTATTTTCCTCGCGCGTCGCTCCGCGCGACGTTGGGACCGGGGCGCAGGTTTGATTTGCGCAAATCTGCGCGCGGGCTTGCTGCGTCGCCGCGGCGCCAGGGCTCTCGCCGCGTGACGGGGCCGCCGCGCGGGCGCTTCTCCGCCAGGGCGACCGCGCTGCTCGCCAGCGGGCGCGCGGACGGGCAGTAGCTGGGGCGCGGGGCAACGATGCCAGCGACAGGCTGCCCGCGACGCAGCTCGCGAATGCAATTGCAGGGGCTCGCGGCCCCCCCGCGAGGCGCGCCGACCCGTCGCCCTGGGGCGAGCTTGCACGGGCGAGCCAAGCAAACCGCGGCGCTTGCGATGGGAGAGCGAAGCCGAACACTGCAAATCCACAGCGCGGAGGCATGTTCCTGCGCGGCGGTGGCTTGATATTCCGTCGATGGTCAACGTCAACGCATATCGCTAGTGTGCAATATTGCCATTGCCCTGTTGCTACCGCATATGATTGTGTTCGCGCTCGGGCGCGCGCTTTGCTCGAACTTAGTGCTGGCATGTCGCATGATCGCGGGCGTTCGGAATGGCATTGCGCGTGTTCCAGGGCAGGTGGGCCACGCGTGCGGCGCGCCCAGAGCAAGCGCAGCTCTGCCGACGCACGTGGAAGCACGCATCTGGGAACATGTCGACCCCGTGCCGTCCTTGGCAGACACAAATCGAGCCGCGCGTGCAGGGCCTCGACCCCGCCTGCTGCCGCCGTCGGTGGGAGCGGCGCGGCGCGAGGCTGCCCCCCGCGGGCGGCTGCGACGGGCCCAGGCCCGACGCACCGCCGCTTGGGCGGCCTCGCGCCACGCCTGCGCGCAGCAGACAGGGCGGAAGGGTGGGAGAAATAACGCGCGCCAGGGAGGCACCCGCCGCGCGCGCGCGCGGGGCGCGCGCGCGGCGCCTCCTCCAAATGCAAATCGCCTGCGAAGCGCACGCGCCGCGGGGGCAGCGACCCCCCCCCGCGGCGACGCAGCCCCGGCGCTAGCAAATCACCTGCGAAGCGCACGCGCCGCGGGGCAGCGACCCCCCCCCCCGCGACGCGCAACCTTGGCGCGCGACGGCGCGATGGCCCGCGCCTGCGCAGCGAGGCCGCGGTCGCGTCGCACTGCCGCGCGCGCGACCTACGCGCAACCGTGGCCGATTTGTGCCCGCCCACAACGGTGAACGTCCGCGTCTGCGAGCGGACTTGCCGCCGTGGGCCTACCACAAATCGAGCCGCGCGCGCAGGGCGTCGACCCCGCCTGCTGCCGCCGTCGGTGGGAGCGGCGCGGCGCGAGGCTGCCCCCCGCGGGCGGCTGCGACGGGCCCAGGCCCGACGCACCGCCGCTTGGGCGGCCTCGCGCCACGCCTGCGTGCAGACCCAATGCCACACGGCGCGCAGGCGACACGGGCCAGCAACGCGCGCCCACCCGCTGCCGAACGCGCGGGAGCAGAGCACGGGCGCCGTCGCGCGCACCCGCCCACGCAGAGAAGCGAAACGTGGCGGCGCTGGCCGCCGGCGCCTAGCAGGCACCCTCGTCCGAATCCGACTCCAGCATGTGCGCCTGGCGCGAGCAGCGCGCCGCGGCGCGGGCGGAGGGCGCGTGGCCCCGCCTCCACGACCGCGTCCCTTTCCAGATCGTCACGGTCGAGATACGCCACGAAAGCGCAGGACCGCCACTCCCCGGCCGCGAGAATCTCGGCCAGCGTCGCGCCAGCCTCCTGCAGGTCCTTGGCGTGGCCCCTGCGGAGGTCATGCAACCGAAACAGGCTCGCCCCCTGGACACCGAGGGCAGCGAGCATCTCGCGCAGGGTCCGCAGCGCAGCAGCCGCCGAGATGCCTCCGAAGAGCCCGCGGCCCAGCCCGCAGCGCCACCCAGGGGCCCAGGGTGTGCACGGGGCACGTGGCGCGGCACGATGAGCACCAGCACTTCCGCGACAGGCGACTGCCCTGCGGCCGGTTCTTCCGCCGCCGCAGCAGCAGCGTGAGCTCCGATTTGCCCAGCACTCGCGCCGCTTGAGAGGGCGGCGCGTCGCCGGCGTCGGCCACGCGCACGGCCGGCAACGCCTCGCTGGGAACACGCAACAAGAACGTGTAGGCGAAAAGGAAAAGCATCGACGCGCGGAGCCACTCGGGGCGGCGCGCGCCCAACTCGACCAGCGCGGCGACCGCGCTCTTACGGATGAACACGCGCGGGCGCGGAGTCCAATCGGCCCGCGCCCGGACGGCGGCGCGCGCGCGCCTGACCTCGGGGCGGTCGAACACGGCGACGCAGACCCCAGTCAGGAGGCAGCCGATCTTAACGTAGCTGCAGTAATTTGCGTACGCCTCCCCGCAGCGAAAGAGGGCGCTCCAGGCGACCAGGTCCGCGCAGGCTGGCGGGAGCTGCATGCACGGGTATTTCAACATTCTGATGCAGTAGGCCTCCCAGCATTTGAGGCCGCTTCTCACGCTTGGGAGCGACCGTGCGCATGGGTGCAGCATAGCGCGAACGCGTTCCTCCTCCCGCCAGCGGGCCGCGTCCGCCGGACTGCGGAGGCGAGCAGCGGCCTCGGCGAGCGCCGCCCGGGGCCCGCGCGTTATTGGCAGCGCGACCGGCGCGCCCAGCTGGTCGAGGGCGCTCGGGGCGAGCGCCTCGCGAGACACGGCGCGCGGGCATGCGCAAGCGCGCGGGGCCGATGACGTGCGCCTGTGGCGGCCCAGGGGGTGACCCCGGGGCGCTCGGCGCCGCGCGTCTCGCCGGCGACCGGCTGCGAGCGGGCGCGCGCCCTCCAACTGCCGCGCCCACGGCGACGGGCGCGCCTGCGAGGCGCACGCGCGGCGGGGGGGGGGGCCGCGCGCGCCAAAAACCTTCGCGCAGCCGAGCCTCGGCGCGCAGCAATCTTCGCGGCTCTGAATAATTCGTGCAAGACTTCGACATTGGCCTGCGCGGTGACCGGCCAACCTTCCAGGTCTGCGGCGTCTGCACTGGCGAGCTCGCAGGCTCGTGCGAAGCCGTTCTCAGCCAGGAAATCAGCAGCCCAGGCGACGGCCGTCCTGGGCGCTGTCGGGCGCAAAGAACACAATTCAAGGAATAACGACATGATGCCGCGCGGCACGCCTGACAATGCGAGCGACGCGCCTGAGGCACTGGCCGCGTGCACTCCGCTTGCGACAAAACGCGGGGCCCTAGGATGACAAGCGCGGCGGCGCGCCGAACGCTTTGCCGCGCCCAAACTTAAGTATCGCGACGCCCCGACGCACAATATGGCACCCGGGCGCGACATGGCGCGCGGTTTAGCCGAAGAGGCGGGCCACAGAGAGAGCGCCCCAGGCATCCGCGTGCCAGAATTCTTCGTCGAGCCACGGAAGCGCGCGCACCGCGCCGATGCGTAGCAGGAGTTCGTCGTCCCCCCTGCGACACGCTGCGCCCGCGGCCAGCCCGCAGCACCGCGCGGCGCGCACGGGCGCGCCGAGAAGGCAAATCGGCCAGATTCACAGCCGTGGGCACGCGGAAAACCGCGAGGTCAACGTCGAGCTCCACCGCGCGCCTCCACATGGAGTGGACGATGCACGAGTGGTCGAAGGATTTCGCGGCGCCCTTCCGCAGGCAAGACTCCGCGCCGGTATTGTCGCTGTAAATATGCAAGTCGCAACCTTGCTCTTCCCCTGAGCGCAGCGAAGACGAGGGGCCGGACCTGCCCGCCGGCGCGGGCAGTCGCACGCGAAAGCAATGCCTGCAAAGGTGCACATGCCCAGCGCGATAGACGGGAGCTCCAGCCCCTGAATCTGGTTGTCCCGGCGACGCTGGAACGACGCCATCAAGGAATCCGGGACGACCATGGAAGTGAAACGCATGCCCGTGGCGGTGACGAGCACCGCGGCCACGCGCGGTGGTTGGCCCGACGCGTCCGCGAAGAGAGTTGCGCGAGGCCGCGCCTTGTCGGCCCACGGCCGCGCTTGGCACAAGTCCATGGCCAAGACCTCGCGCCACCACTGCAGGGCAAGCATCACCGGCTCATGGGCCTTCGATGCCCCGCGATGCGATTGCGCGCGCAGCGGCCTGCGAGCACGAAGCGCGGCGCCCCGCCCCCACGGGCGCGCGGAGGCAGCGCCGCGCCTGAGGGCGCGCCCCAGGCGGCGGAAGAGATGCGACGCTGCCCAGGCCAAGCCCCCGGCCAGCTTGGACGATGCGCCTGCACAGCGAACGCAAGGTCCCGACACATTAGGAGGGACGCGCGAGCCGCCTGGCGCGAGGGCGCGCGTCGCGAGCGCCTCGCCGATGACACGCTGCCGCTTGGCGGTCTTCGCGGGTGCGGGACGCGCGCAGAACGCGCGTGGCAGCACCTGGCGAAGCGCGCAGCCGGCCGGCCGGCGCGTCGCGCCAAGGCCGCCCCGCCTTGATTTCGAGGCCGAGGATGACCAGCGGGGACCCCCAGGCGATCTTGTCCGGCGCCACCGCGCCTGGGCCGAGCAGCAGCTGAATTAGCTCCGCCAGCTGCGCTGCTGCGTGCTCCACCACTTCGGGGTGATCCGGCCCGAAATAATCATCCACGTATCGCAGCGCGGCGATCCGCAAGAGCACGCGCGCCGCCTCCGCGATGAAGGCACCCACTCGCGCCCAGCTGTGCACCGACGACGTGGCCCCGAAGGGCGCTGCCGCGTGCTGCGCCGCCCAGACCTGCCCGGCGGCGCTGAACACGATCCAAGCGAACCGGCGGTGCTCTGCGCGAATGGGCACGCGACGAAAGGCAGCGTCGATGTCTGCCGTCCAGAGGGCGGGTGCCCGCCCCGCAACTTCCTGGAAGACGGAGCTGCTTCGAAAAGCGCGTCCACGGCATCGTGGTGGAGCCGCTCCTGAGGCCGCGTCGCCTCGTTAATCCTAGCCTTGGTCACGTCGTCGACCAACCGGAGTTTCGAGGACCCGTCTTCACGGAGCTGCTCAACCGCAAACCTCGGAGCGATGACGGCCCCGTCCAGGCACACGTCGCGGAGCGTCACCGGGCAACTGATGCGCCCCAGCTCGGCCTCGTCCCGTGTCTTGCGGAGGATGGCGTCGCCGTGCGCGCCGTCGCGGAGGCCACAGGAAATGTCGCGATTTGTCGACTCGGCGTTGCCGAGCAGCTCCGCGATGCCCATTCCACGCAGCCTGGGTCGCAGAAGGCAATGCGCTCCGCGATCTCTGCGCAGATCTGAGGCCCGTTCACGTGCTGTGCGACGCGCCGCATGGCGGGGTCCACCCCCCGGAACCATTCTTCCACGGCGCCACTGGCCCGGAGAGCCCGATCCCTTTCGCGAAGCGCCGCGAGTTCGCCCTCGCGGAAAGCCACCACGTCGGCGGGGGCGGTCAGCGCGGCCCACCGCACTGCCTCAGCGGCCGTGGGCGGCAAAGCCGAGGCCGCGGCGGGCCGCCACTTGCCCCGGAGCGCGGGGTCGCCGTCCAGCGCCCTTGCCAGAAAGGTAAGTTTCTCCGCGTCGCCGCCGCTACAGCCGCCGGCCGCGACGCAGATGTCGCGCCACGCGCTGTCGCTGCAACGCCGAGACCAATCGCTCCTGAATTGCGGCCCTGGTGGCGCTGTCGGCGCCGGCATCACCTGACGCGCGCCGCTGGCTCGCGCGCGACCGAGAGCCGGGAAAGCGCGCCTTGCGAGATTTGGCGACGACGCATGCAGCCCCAGGCGCCGCCCGCTTTCGCGCGCCAGATGCGGGCGGCGGGGGCGGCACCGGCACGGCAGGCATTGCACAATATTGCAAACCGCGGACGTGGACAAGGCGCCAAAGCGTAGCGAAAAGCGCCCTCGGAACGCACGCTGCCCCGCGGAACTCCCCCGCGCGCCCCGCCCAGGCTGGCCGGGGCCAAGCCGGGCACCCGCAGCGGCGCGGAAAGCGAAGCGGCCTCCGCGGCAACAGCGCACGCGGCATGTCCCAGCACGCGAGTGGGGGTCCTGCGCACGGCGCACGGGGCCATTTTTAGCGACAAAGCGTAGAACTATCGGGCGCGCCCGGGTCACGGCCCCGACCCGGCGCGGGCGGAGGCAGGCTTTTGCGCGCGAGCCGTTCTGACGGCTGAAGGGGCTCCACCCCTACGGGGGCTCGCGCGCGCCCTGCCAGGGCGGCGCCCAGCGATGCGCCGGGCGCGGCGGCGTCCGTACCTCCCTCGTGTCCTTTTTCTTCCAATCGCTACCCCACGAGCGCTCGCGCTTCTGGCCCTTCGGCCAATCGCTGCCCCAGGAGCCGCTGCTCCAGCTCTGCGCGGCGCGCCACGGCTGGCTGGCGCCGCCCGCCCCGCGCGCCTTCTCGGGAGCGCGGGCCGCCGGTGCTTGCACGCGCGGAAACGGCGGAGAAAGGTGGCAGAAGCGAATCCGCGCGGCGCGACGCTCGCCGTCGCGTGGGCGGCGCCGTCTTCTTTGTCGCAAGCATCCCGCGCCAGCTGTAGGGCGCGCGGGTCGACCCGCAGGATCGTCTTCCCCAGCTTGAAATCTGGGTCCCCCGAGCGTAGCTGCTCGGCCCATAGCTGCCACGCGCCGGCACAGACGCAGGGCGCCGCGCAAGCACGAACGCAGGGGCGCGCCTTCCGCGCCTCCTCGTCGCACACGATACCGAGGTGCACGCGGCGCTTCGAGGCCGCCGCCTGCGCGGCAACGCGCGGCGAACAGAGAGCGACGAGAAATCGCGCGCGTGCAGCCTGAACCGCCACCTTCAAGCAGTTGTCGCGATGCGCCTGCACCTCAGCCCACGTGAGCTGGCCCGTGGCGACCAGCGCGACCATGTACCTGCCGCGCGCGGCGTGATAACAGGCAGGCGCGCGGGGGGGGCGCGCGACGGGCAGGTGGCGCCGGTTCCAAGCCAGTGCCACTGGCAGAGGGTTAAGTAGGCCTTCTTCTCGGGCCCTTTCGCTTGCCCCGGCTTTGGGTTGGGTCGGGCTGGGCACGCGTGGCTGGCCGCGGGGGGCGCGTGGGAGGGGGTGAGCCTAAACTAACACGACCCGAAAGCCGTCTGTCTCCTAAGCCGCGCCGAGGGCCGTGTGGGGGGGGGGGGCCTTGGAATTTGAGAGGGAGGCGGCCCCGTTGCCTCGTCGGGGCAAAGGAGCAGCCCGCTCATACTCCGAGGGGCCTCCGCGCGCCGGGCGATGGCGAGCAGACAGGCCAAACTGGATCTGGAGCGCGGGTAGCCACAGCTGGAGCGCCCGCTTTGCGGGCGCGTACCGCTGGACCCGCGCGCCGCGCCGGAACCGCCGGCAGCGGGCGGCGCGGCTCCGCCGCCAGAGGCGCTCGCGCATCGGGGGCACGGTCAAGGCAGCGGCAGGAAAGCGCTGAAAGGGCACATGCTCTGCGGGCGCCAGCCTCTGCCCGCGCCGGCGCAACTGGAGCGGCCCCCGCGCGGTCGCCCGCCGATTGGCCCGCGCCCTGCGCTGGGGCCGCCGCCGGAGGGCGAGCCGCTGGCGCGGCCGGGGCAAACTACTGGGCAGAAGCGCACTGGAGTCATTATCTGGGCGATGCCGTTGGAGCGCTTCCCCTGCGGGCGCCAGCCGCTGCCCCCGCGGGCCGCTTGCTGGGGCACCGCGCGGCTGGGCGGCGACTCGATAACCGCCATGTCGACCGCCGGCGGCGTCGCGCAACCGCGCCGGGCGCCGCCCGAGCGCTCAGGCGCCGCCGCGGTGCCGCTTCGCGCGGGGAGATCGCGCCGGCGCGAACTCGGCCGGGGCAAGCGCCGGGCGGGCATCGCCGCCGCAGGGACGCGCGCGCCTCGCGGCGGCCGCGCCGCTGGGTTTCGGCGGAAGGCCGCCCTCCGCTGGAAAGACAAGCGGGACGAGGGCATTGCGCGCGCCGCCAAGTGCCGGGGCAACATTCTGGCGAGCACTGGCGGCCCCACGCAGGAGCTGCTTACCGCGATGCCCCCAGACCGTAGGGCAAGGCACCTGCAGAGGATGCTCTGGCGATGGAGCCACACCACGCTGCAGCGGCACGCGTCCAACGTCATGGCATTCACCGTGTGGCACCGGGCAAAGCGAGAAGGCTCGCCATTCGCGGCGCTCCCGAGCTGCGAGCAGGCGACCCTCCGCCTGATCGATTACGTCACGCGACGGTGCCGAAGGCGCGGCTGGCTTCGGTGGCGTTTCTGGCCAGGCTTGCCCAGATCAGCGACCAGCTGCCCACGGAACACGTCGCCGTCAGCACGGCGGCGGCAGCCCATTACCGGGAAACAGCAACAGCGGGGCATAGGGCACGCGCTTACACGGTGGAGCAAATCCGCACCTTGGAATGCGCTGTCAAAAAGCTCCCGTCTGCGCTGTCGCGGATCACCGCGAGGAACGAGCTCAGGAAAGTGTACGCGCCCCTGCGCAATGATGACAGCATCTGGGACTCACCGAGCGCCTGGCGCGCTGCGGGCGGCGAGCGCGGCTTCCTGTACGGGACCGCGCACAAGACCAAGGGCACGGAGGCCACCAGCACGCGCCTCAGCCCAGAGATGCCCTGGTCCGCGCCGCTGCGGGGCGTCTGCACCGAGCCTTCGCGGTGGGCGCAGGGATACCTTGAGGACTGCGCCGAGCTCGGCATCGCGGATCAGGAGTACGCTGTGCCGGCCCCGTGGGCCGCCCGCGCTCGGCTAATTCCCCCGGGGGCCACGGAACCAGACGAATGGGCCACGCAGGTCCGAGTCGTCTTGCAGGAGGCCGGAATCCCACGAGAACAGGCGGCGGGCATTTCGCTTCACTCGGGAAAGAAAACCGCACTGACATGGGCGGGCACGTCGGGGAAGTTCTCGGAAGCAGACCTTGCGATACTCGGACACCACCGCAGCGCAGGGGTGGGCAAGTGCGTGCGGGCCTACAATATGTCAGAGCTCTCCGCGCCGATAGCCAAGCTCGCCTCACTGCTCGAAGACATCGCAGCAGGGAAATTCCACTCCGACGCGCCACCGGGCCTTCAGTGGGGCCCGGCGCCACAGCAGCCCGTGCCATTGCAGCTGCCAGCGCGCCCAGACGCCGGCCGGGGCCCGAGCGACGCCGCCAGCCAGGACATGCCCGCAGCATCGCCGCGACAACGCCAAGCCCGCCGAGGCGCAGGCGCCCCAGCCCCCGGGGCCGCGCCGGACCTGCGGGTGGGACGGCCGCGCGAAGGCGAGTCCGCGGACGAAGCCCCCAAGGCACGGCTCGGGTTCCTTGTCAGCGACCACATCAATCCCAGCAGGCCTCGGTACGTGCACGAGGCGATCATCGCTCCCGCAGCGGATTCCAAGCGGAGGCGCACGGCCCGCCTGAGGGTCCAGACGCCCCACGGAGTCGTAACGACCCTGTGCGACAACACCCTGCAGAGCGCCTCGTGGTCGCAGGAGTGCCCCCGCGGTGCCGACCTCCGCGCCTGCCTAGTCTGCCGTGCGAGAGCGACCAACCGACGTGGTGGAGCGCCATAGGCTTGGTTTCGCCGTCCCAGTGCGGGACAGAGCGTGCTGGCCAGGCGTGGCACCGTCGCTCCCAGAGCGGGGCAGGGCGTGCCGGCCCACCAGCGGAGCCGGCCCAGGCGGGCGGCGACCGCTGGATCGCGAGAGCACTCACGGAGCGGGAAAAAGAAAGCATAGGGAATCACAATAACATAATCAGATCGCGGTCGAAGGGTGGAGCGCCCCCGTCGTCTGCCTGCGCTTCCTGGGCACCTCGTTGCCGACAGCGTGCGCGCGCGGCGGCTCGTTCGCCGCCCGCCCGAGCGGGCGGTGAATCAGCTGCTGGCCGTTGGCGGGGCCCGGGAGGCGGAGGGACGCCGAGCGGGGAAGCCCGCCCAGCCATCCTGAGATGCAGAGTCCATCGTGCATCCATAAGCCGACACGGAAAGCCGCGGCCGCGCTCCCGCCGGCCCTGTCCCTGCTGCGCGAGCCTGCGGGCCGGCGCCAAGGGGGCGGCGGGGGCGCGCGGCGCGGCTCTCATTGTCGCCCGAGTGGAGACGGCCACTGTGCAGCGTGCGCTGCCACCTCCCCGGCTCCTCCGCGCCGGCGTCGTGGCCGCGTGGCGGCTGGCTGACCGCCTGCGCTCGCAGGTGGTCTGGCAGGTGCCACGCCGTCGGCCTGGTTGGGGAAGCGGCGGGGCACGCGCGCGGTGCGTCGTCCCACAGCATCCAGCCCGGCACTCTCCTTTCCGCTTCGAGCGTCGCTGCGTCGTGCTACGGGCCCGCTCTTCCCTGGCAACCCGGCCGCGACGCGTTCGCGGCGCGGCGGGGGGTCGGCTGCCCGCGCGCAAGGGTTGCCGATCCCCTGCCCGCCGCCGCCGTGGCCAGGGAAACCGCGCGGCATCGGGCGCGGACGCACTTCTGTCACTGTGCAAGCGTTTTGACTAGAGCAGCCGTGCAGTAAAGGAAGCGTTGCCTCTCCCGCGTCTCTCTGAACCAGCGCTGGGAAATCGCGGGAAGGCTGCGTTGACTTTAGGCTCGGGGAGGCTCGGGTCAGGGAACCGTAATCATGACAGAAGGGGACGCCCGCGCGCGCTCGCAGGGACTGCGCGCATCAGAGCGCGCAGTTGGATCGTGCGAGCAAAGCGCGTTGGCGACAGCGGTTGCTGTTGGTTTGTTTCTTGGT